TCCTTAATAATAAGGTTTACCGATAATAATTTGATTTTTCTAAACTTACCTAAAATTATTTACTAAAATTTGAGACTTTGAGGTCATTGTTGATGGAATCTTCAACTGATACTCATAACTATCAAAATATAAGTTGGACGATCTTGCTTGTGAAACCTCTAGTTGGCGTGATAATGTATACAAATGCCGCATCGATAAGTACTGGCCATATATTTCATTTGGTTTATTAATGATCGTAGCTAGTTAGAGAAAGAATCATCAATATGTCACTTTAAATTTGAAATGACAATAACACTAAGCTACTAAAAATGCAAATAAATCAAGAATACAAACTATAGCTCATAAGCATTTTTATCAAAGAAGCGATCCTAATATCATGTGTTGATAAGATAGCTGGATAAGTCTCCTAAAATAAAGCGAACAAAGTAGGAAACTATTCCTAATGAAATATCGCCGGTAAGATTTCAAAAATGTCTTAAAAACAAAATGTTCTATTCTTTGAATTTTAGATGAAGAATYCTAGACCAACGTGAAGTTTTAATATTGAAAAAAAGTATAATAAAAATGAAAGACAACACTGCAAATTATTACAGATTTTATCTACCATCTGTTTCGTTTAGTTGTTAATTTTTAAAACAYCTTTTATTTTAGATTTACTAAGTTGTATTGTTTACCCCTGGTCCCGAAGATGTTTTTTAAAATTGTTTATTATATGGACGGCATGATATTCTATGAAAAAAAAAGAAGGGTTTACTCCCAATTCAAAAATTTTCTTTTCATTTTCTGGTTATCTGCAAAGGTTTTTAGGGAGATTTTCTAACTCAGAACTCGATAAACAGTGAACGTAAAACTTTGTCTTATGGGGGAAAAATCCACACCTATATAGAAGGCATTATTTCTTGCAATTTGTTCTACCTTGGTGGAAATCAAAGGCTTTTGTTAAAAACTTTTGGCAAATATTGCATTTTTTGAAAAAAACACACGTATTTTTCGAAATTTTCCCCCTGAAACATGCAATCGTGCGTTTGCATTTTGTCTTTTCTTTGGTCAGMGGTACTCAGGCTTTTGTAATAGAAATAGCATGATATCCGATTGCCATGGAAACAGATGCCATTGGCAAGCAATAAAGACGCATCTTAATCTTTTGACTTTGAACGAATCTAGATGAGAAATCTWTGTAAGAAGGTCCATGGCACTTCATTAGACGTTGATTGATTTTAATTCCACAATGAAAAACAGAATATTATCTAGAAAAAGTAAAATGTTAACGCTGTTATCTGTTTAGAATTTAAGATTTGTATTGCATAGGAGAAATTAGGAATCACTAACAATAAAGANATAATGGGTTATGCTTGGAGTTGAAGACACCTAAGGGTAACGGCGTATTATCCTCAAAACAAGAGGCATTACTCGCACATAAGGACCCTTCTCAAAAATAAAAAAAAAGGAAAAAAAAAAAAAAAAAAAAAAAAAAAAAAAAAAAAAATCTAATTTACTAGTTACCAAAAAAAAGCAAGGGAGTATAGCTATTAAAAAGATGCCAACGTAATTTCTTTTCTTTTCTTTAATTAAGGATTAAGGCTGAAGCTGCAGTTGAAACGCCTGTTAAAAACATCAAATGAGCGACAAGAGCATTGCACGCTATATTCATGGCACCTAACAACAATACAAATATTTTTTTCAGGTATATGGTTAT